ACAAAATTTCCTCCTCCCCTTCCCCTCTCCCAAAAAATCCCTTTCCTAATGCGAGGCGGTGGTCCCTTCATTCGACAGCCCTGACGGCTGTCTTCCCTCACCCTCATTGCTGGAGGTTCTGCTACAATAGAGTCGTTCTAGTTTTTCAAGATTACAGTCCTCAACTCCCCAACTATTGTTAGGAAGCTCTGCAATAACAGCACCATCAGAATGGGACAAATCTGAAGGCAGGGTGTGGAAGCAATGTACTAACTCCCAATGTGAGATGAGGGGGTTTAATCTTCCACAGTGTGTTCAAGCTACCTGGAGGCACGGTGAACAGGGAGAGGTAGGTAAGGGTTTAACCCCACTCCCAAAGCTTGCTCAGGCTGACAGTGAATGGGGAGAGCTGAGTGAATGGGTTAATCCCCCACAGTTTGCTCAGACTGCCTGGAGTCACTGTGAGGGGGTTGATGCAAATGTTCAAAGGCAGAGACATGAAAAATACAGCCTTACTGTGTGATGTAGAGAAGATACAAATATCACGGTTAGTGTCTGACAGCTGTTGTCAAAGACAATATTCCAAAACCTCTGCATCATGCACTAAACGGAAAACAGCCAAGTATGAGGTAGAATAAACATTCTGTACATTTTTTTGACTGTTTTTGCTTACTCTCGCTGGTCTTCCAGCTACACTCCATGACCTCTTCTGTGGGTTCGCTGATAACATCGGAACTTTCCCTCACAAAGACTGCGCAACTATCCTTGTGCATGACCCCTCCAGCAGAAATGATGAATAACGATGAGAGAGAATTGACTTTACCTGTTGTTGGCCACAGCCTAACAGGTAGCATCCTCACCTACGTTGAAACGTTATGGGTCCGAGAGTCATTCCAGAGACTCCTACTTAAAGCTGATACCTTGGTGTAGTACTCCAGGGAATGCTGAATGGGGACTCCAGGGACTGTCTTGAGATGTTAAAGTGAACTCTCACTCCCCAAGGCACACACACCTATGCACTAAACCAGATGACCTGGTCATTTGTCACTTTGCTGTTTGTGGGATCTTGCTTTGCTCCTAAAGGCTGCTATGTTGTACAGTTGGTACAGCACATAAGCTGCCCCTTCAGTCCAACTCATCTATGCCAACCAGACATCCTAAATTAGATTTAATTCCATTTGTCAGCATTTGGCCCATATCCCTCGAAACCCTCCAACCCTGGCACCATCCTTGTAAATCTTTTCAGAACCCTTTCAAGTTTAACAACATCTTTCTTATAGCAGAGAGACCAGAATTGAAGGCAGTATTCCAAAAGTGGCCTAACCAATGTCCTGTACACCTGCAACTTGACCTCCCAACTCCAGTACTGTCTCCATTATAGCTGTCACTGCACTTCAGAGGCATGTTGTCGACCTGTAAAACTCTCTAGGATGTTCTGAGGTCCTGGAAGGTGCTACTTAAATGCAGTTTTATTTCCCAGCCTGTGCTTCATCGAGCAGCTATCCTGCGCACAGTGACTGGAACTTGTGCAGGCCTCTCCTCTGAATAAACAGACGTGCCATAAAAAGGAACTGGAATTTGGAAACTATTCAATGAAGTGCAGTTTTAACTATAAATGGAGTAAATCATTATTCTCTCTCTCTTGGCAACGAGATGCCCCTTGCAACAGTACTCAATGTCAACTCAAACAGCCTCAATCCCCATTTGCACAGACCTCAGCTACGTAAGTGCAGAGTGGGATTTGTGCTGTTGCCCAGAGCCTCTACCAGTAAGTGCTGTGAATCGAGAGAGAGGAAAGGATAACACTAGGCTGTAATATGTGACATTGTGAATCATAAAATGAGCTAGCACAGAATGAGGCTCCCATTATGCCTCCATCATTATTCCCTCATAATGTCTCCATCTGAGGCATGGATCTTTTTGGAAACATAGAATTATGAAGGGAAGAGATAAGATAGAAGCAGGGAGATTGTTCCCACTGGCAGGTGAAACTAGAATTAGGGGGCATGGCCTCGAACGGGGGAGCAGATTTAGGACGGAGTTGAGGAGGAACTTCTTCACCCAAAGGGTTGTGAATCTTTGGAATTCCCTACCCAGTGAAGCAGTTGAGGCTACCTCATTGATTGTTATTAAGGCAAAGATAGATAGATTTTTCAACTGTGAAGGAATTGAGGGTTATAGACAGCGGGTGGGTAAGTGGAGCTGTTTCCATGAAAAAAGATCAGCCATGATCATATTGAATGGCACAGCAGGCTCAATGGGCTGAATGGCCTACTCCTGCTCCTATTTTTAAAAAATATTATCATTAATCTGTTTCCCCTGGTCACTGTACTCTCCCAGCAGTTGAACAGTTTATTTTTCCTGATTTACTCTGTTAACCTGATCAATGCAAACATCTCAATGATACCCATCCTCAAGTTTCTCTGGTCCAATGAGAAAGGGAGTCAACCTCCCCTCAACAACTGTTTATTTTCACTTCATACATTCAGTACAAATTTCAGCCTGCACTCCCACCCTTCCTAACTGGCTCCCTTTTTATGAGAGGAGAGGGTGAACCATCTCATTTCTAAAAAAAAAATAAAATTCATCAAATTAACAAAACACCCAATTAATCAATTTACAAACAGGGGCTGTGGCAAACAGACCCTATTAAAAACAGAATTTAAAAAAATGACCTCCAAGTCACCTAATTAATTACACAACTAACAGTTTTAAAAGGGGGGAAGCAGTACTGAATTAGGGCAGGACTTAATAGTGGAGTCTTGGGGAGTGTTGCCGAACAGAGAGACTTTGGGGTGCAGGTGCATGGTTCCTTGAAAGTGGAGTCACTGATAGATAGGATAGTGAAAAGGGCGTTTGGTATGTTTGCCTTTATTAGTCAGTGCATTGAGTACAGGAGTTAGGATGTCACATTGCAGGACTTTGGTTAGGCCACTTTTGGAATTCTGCATTCAATTCTGGTCTCCCTGCTATAGGCAAAGATGTTGTGAAACTTGAAAGGGTTCAGAAAAGATTTACAAGGATGTTGCCAGGGTTGGAGGGTTTGAGATATGGGGAGAGGCTGAATAGGCTGGGGCTATTTTCTTTGGAGCATCAGACACTGAGGAGTGACCTTTATAGAGGTTTATAAAATCATGAGGAGCATGGATAGGGTAAATAGACAAGGTCTTTTTCCCAGGGTGGGGGAAGTCCAAAACTAGAGGGCATACATTTAAGGTGAGAGGGGAATGATTTATAAAGGACCTGAGGGCAACTTGTTCATGCAGAGGGTGGTGTGTGTATGGATTGAGCTGCCAGAGGAAGTGGTGGAGGCTGGTACAATGTAAAAAGGCATCTGGATGGGTACATGAATAGGAAGGGTTTAGATATATGGACCAAAGTCTGGCATATGGGACTAGATTAATTTAGGGTATCTGGTGACTCTATGAATACTGCAACTTTGAGAGTTAGACTAGAATTGTTTTTTTTACTCAAACATGTTATGACACATTTCTCCGGCAGGTGGGATTTGAACCTGGACCTCCTGGCCCAGAGGTAGTGACACAACGACAATAAATTCCTTCTTCCCCTCCCCCTCCCCAAATCACCTACGACAATATTTTCCACCTCAGCTCTGCACTAAAGAATCAACTCACAATTTTTTTTTGTCTCAGACACTGGAGAGTGGAATTTGAACCAAGAACCTTGAGATTCAGAAGCAAATGTATTACCCACCGAGCTTTATTCTGTGAAACAATAACAGAAATTGCTAGAGAAACTTGGCAGCACCTGTGGAGAGAAAGCAAGCCATGATTTGCAACATTTTCTTTGTTTTTTTGAGGTGGGCCTTGAAACCCAGCAATGGTCAATTGCTGTAATACCTCTACAAAGGGGTTGGCATCAAAGTTTTTTTGATTGTACACCTTTGGGACATTCTACCATCTGACAGTATCTACGTAAATGCAAGCTCTCGTTGCAGTAGGTGCATGCCTTGGAATTTTGTAGAGTCATGGAGATGTTCTGCACGGACACTGTCCACACCGACCAGAGATCCTAAATTAATCTAGCCCCATTTGCCAGCATTTGGCCCATTATCCCTCCAAACCCTTCCTATCCATGTACCCATCCAGATGCCTTTTAAATGTTGTAATTGTACCAGCCTCCACCACTTCCTCTAGCAGCTCATTCCATACATACACCACCCTCTGCATGGAAAAAGTTGTCCCTTAGATCCTCTTTAAGCCTTTCCCCTCTCACCCTAAACCTGTGCCCTTTAGCTTTGGAATCCACTACCTGGGGAAAAGACCTTGGATATTCACCCCAATTCATTCCAGTTATAAGGTCATCTCTCAGCTTTTGAAATTAAGAAAGGGGTAAGCGGTTGAACACGTGCCTGCCACTCCACCTCCAGCTGATGTGACATAGTTGAGACTGAGAAATACCAGGAATCCCCATTCAGAGCACTTAATAGGGACTGACTTGTGTTTAACAAGGTTGGGGGGAAATCAATTTTCTAATCGTCACCTGCAAAGGTCGGAAAAATCAACCAGTTCCATCCCTCATCATTGTTAAAATCGGGAGGAAACCAGACCGGTAGAAATCAGCTGAGCTAAGCGGGCTGCAATAAGATATTGCCGAATGTCGACAGTGACTCAGCCTTAGCAACACCAAGCTATGGGTTCAAATCCACCCCACAGCCTGAACAGAAAATATTATTTATAACAATTATTAATTAATAAATATTATAAAATAATCCTGCTGCACTATCTCGAACAAGTATTGGGGGGGAGGGGTTGGAAATATCCCTGACTCCGGGCCAATACCAATCCCTCAATCACATGAACAGATTGTCTGGTCGTTGTCACATGGGATCTTGCTGTACTCAAGTTGTTTCCGGTCTAACAAACTTTTTGAAGTGCTTCATCGATCGAGAAAATGCTTACTTTTGTGTGTGTGTTTTTTAAAAACTTGTATAGTTTGAAGGTCATAATTTCACTTCAATAGGTGAGGAAGATAACAGCCTGTGCACAGATTCCATTCCCAATCCCAAGAGAGAAAGACCCCTTTTTGGGGGGGGGGGAAAGTGAGTAATTTAGAACCACCCCGTGTCTTCTTCACTGTGACTCTGTCTGTGAGGTTGGGGGAAAGTAGAGAGTCCCACATGACTGAAACCTGGATTACTTTCAGGTATTAACTTGAATAGTTTAACTGGAGTCTTAGTTCAGCCCACAAGACGAGGGGGGAGGGTCCTGTTGGAAAAGTGGCTATCAAACAACGAGGAAAAAAACGAGAGAGTGGCAGCTCCCTTTCACCCACAACTTCAGGTCAAACCGGTTGAGGGCTGACAAGACGAGGCAGATGCAGAGAGAATGAGGAGGGACTGTTGAGAAACTCAGGGAGAAATAAAAGTTCAACCCAGTTCTCTGGGCTTTTCCTGATTGTGAAACACTGCTCTCCGCTTCTGTCAGTTAACAAGCAACTTCACTAGAGAGAGAGAGAGCCCAATCTGGGAGCAACCAGTTCATGAGAAGGCGACTTTAAAATAATTTACTTGATATATCCAGCGAGGATTTCTTCCCTTCGCCAGGTAACGGAGAAAGAAAACTTAATATTAGATTTGGATGGGGAGGGAAATCAAATATTTGTTGATATTGGGGTGTTGTCCTTATTTTAAAGGGTTTTTGTTTTCAATACCTTTTCTTTACCAGCTTATCCAATTTGTTAATGAGTTTCTATCTGTATTTAATTGTGTGTTTGTGTTTTTGTTTTACTCCCAGCTCTGTCTCTGAGGGGGGTAGGTTGGTCCCCTTGTTCTATGGCTTTCTTGATGAAGAAAAAGAAGTTTAAGTTCCTGGTCACTCTGACAGTGGTCAATCTCTCCGCCGTGCCGTTCATCAATGGGATCCTGTACTGCAAGATCCGCTTGCTTCACGGCGGATCCTTCAGTGAGCAGTCTACCCGGTGAGTGAGTGAGTGTGAGGGATGGAGGGAGGGGAGTTACGGGGATCTGCACTGTGGGCCTGATAATGTGGCTGCTTGTATTCTCCACACTTCCTCTCTTCCCCCACCCCGAGGCATGCCTTGTCGTTATAATTTTTTTAAACTGATGTTTTAAGCTCGCAATTTCACCCTCGCAGCCTCCAACCAAAACAGGGGATTAAAATTCTCTTCTGACACCTTCCCCCAAAGCCAGCAGATGAAGAGCACCCTTATTTTATAAAGGGGACAGGGTAATCAGAACCTCTTGTCTCTCTTCTCTCTCCCTTTCTTCACTCCCCTCTATCCTACCCCCTCTTCCCAATGCCACCTGTAATTCTCCCCAATGCACCCCCGTCTCATTTTCCTCTTTTAGATGCCCATCTTTATCTGCCCCAGATTTTCCACCCTCTACCCACTTCCTCCTGTGTCATCCCAGTAGCTTCTAAGAATTAAATCTGCGTATTTCTCACCCAAACCACAACTAATTTGCATTCACCCAGTAACTTTTCTGACCACGTGGGGGGGCCCTCCAGCTAAAGACCTATTGAAATATAGTCGGTATTGCAGGAAAAATGATGGACATTGCGTGTAGCCAAATTATAGCAAGCTGGTATTGACCAGCTGTTACCTAAACTGAAGAAGGCTTTCAGCATGCTTGCTTTCATCGTTCAGAGCATTGAGTATAGGAGTTGGGACGTCTTGCAGCTGTACAAGATGTTGGTGAGGCCACATTTGGAGTGCTGCATGCAATTCTGGTCGCCCTACTATAGAAAGGATGTTATTAAATTAGAAAGAGTGCAGAAAAGATTGACGAGGGTGCTCCGTGCACTGGAAGGTTTGAGTTATAAGAAGAGCTTGGATAGGCTGGGAATTTTTTCTTCCCTGAAGTGTAGGAGACTGAGGAGGATGACTTTATAGAGGCCTGTAAAATCATGAGAAGCCTAGATAAGGTAGATAGCTGACAGCTTTTCCACGTGGTAGGGGAGTGTAAAACTAAAGGGCATGGATTTAAGGTGAGAGGGGAGAGATACAAAAGGGTCGGGGGTGGGGGGCGGAGCAATTTTTTTTTCACACAGGGTGGAGTGTGTCTGGAAGAGGCTGCCAGAGTGAGTGGTGGAGGCAGGTACAATTTTGTCATTTCAGAAACATTTGTACAGGTAAATTGATGGGACAGGTATGGGAGGATATAGAGCAAATGCAGGCAAGTGGGATTAGATTAATTGTGAAAAGTGGGCTGTGTGGACAAGTTGGGCTGCAGGGCCTGTTTCCATGCTATAGCCTTCTCTGATCTCTCTTTTTAAAAAAAAAAAGACTCAGCAGAAGAACACAGTTAAGAGTAGGCCATTCAGCCCCTTTATCGTGCTCCACTGTTTGACGGGACAATGGCTGATCTTGTCGGGAATTGTTTGGCTCTGCCTCGCAAAACCACAGACTTCCTTGTTCATCAAAACTCCTGTGATCTGCCTCCACTGCTCTCTGGGGAAGAGAATTCCTCAGCCTAATGACTCTGTGTGAGAGAGAAAAATTCTCCTCGTTCCTTTGTTGTGTGGTTTTTTTATGTCCCACGTCAATGGATTTGGATTCAAGACAGACTGGTCAAAGAGAAAGCAAAGACAAAAACTGTCTTTAGGCTTATACCTCTTAGTCTCAATGTGAATTAAATGGTGTTACAAAATACTACAGTGCAAGGCATGCGGAGATATACCAGGCTCTAACTGAAAAGCTATTACATTATTGAAAAGCTATTCCATGAACTCTGCCCCGATGCTAGTGAGACAACAAGGTGCAGGGCTGGATGAACACAGCAGGCCAAGCAGCATCATCGGAGCAGAGAGGCTGACGTTTCCGGCCTAGCCCCTTCATCAGAAATGAAGAAGGGTCTAGGCCCGAAACGTCAGCCTTCCTGCTCTTCTGATGCTGCTTGGCCTGCTGTGTTCATCCAGCTCTGCACCTTGTTGTCTCGGATTCTCCAGCATCTGCAGTTCCTACTATCCCTGATGCTAGTGAGTCTGCTCCACATGCTTATACAGGAGCATAGAAACTTGGAGCAGGAGTAAACCATTTGGCCTGTGGAGCCCATTCTGCTATTCAATAGGATCGTGGCTGATCCTCTGTTTTGATGCCCTATCCCTGCTATCCCCCCTCCCCCATACCCATGATGGCTTTTAATAGCTTAAAAAATTTGCGCTCACTCTCGCTCTCTAATATAATCAGTGATTTGACCTCCATCTGCAGTAGAGAACTGAACTGGTTCGCACTCCTCCGAGCGAAGACGTTTTTCCCTCACCTCTTGGCCTTTCGGTTTGGGTCTCCTTGCAGTGGCTTTGGCGTCAGTCAGTGACTCTGTGGTTCTTCTTCGGCGTTGTGGGAATCTAACCCAGGATTCCAAGGGAGAGGGGGATGGGATTGGATCCTCAAGCCCAGAGCTGTGAAATGGACTAACTTCTCTTAGTATACTATTTTCCCCTTAGTATACTATTTTGGACTGTTATTCTGAACTTTTTATTCCTTTTTTCTAATTTATCATTTTGATTTTGTACCTTTTTGAAGCTCTGTCATCCTCTTTTTTTTGTCTTTTTATTTTTCTCTAAGTTTTTGTAGTCAAGAATCTGTACCTTTTTTGTACCAAGATGGCGCTGTAAGTGGTGACTTGTAAAGTTTTCATCGCACTCCCAGTATGAGTGCATGTGACAATAAAGCTAATCCAATTCAAGAAGATCCACTCTGTATCCTGAGAATTGTCTCTGACTTCTAAGACTCTGCAAACCAGGGGAACCGTTATCTCTGCATCTATTCTGACCAGCCCTGTTAGAATTTGATACATTTCCATCAGATCTTCCACTCATCCTTTTTAAACTTGAGTGAATACACGTCCAGTTGAACCTAGCTCTCTTCATACTACAGTTCTGCCATCCCTGGTTTTAGCTAGTGAACCTCTGGTTCTCTCTCTCTCTCTCTCTCTATGGCAAGTATATCCTCTCTCTTTAGATAGGAGGGCCAAAGCTGTGTACAATGCTCCAGATGTGGTCTGTCCAAGGCCCTGTATAACTGCAGTAAGACATCCCTCCTTTTGAACTCAAATCCTCTTGCAATGAAGGCCAATATACCATTCAGCTTCCAAGTTGTCTGCTGTAGCTGCCTGTCTCCTTTCATTGAGTGGTCAACAAAGACACCCACATCCCTTTGTATATCTACGCTTCCTAATAGATCAGCATTTTCAACAATGTTTTATGTTTGTCACAACAAAGTGTGCAACTCCACATTCAGCCATCTTGTACAGCATCTGCCACGTGTTTGCCTGCTCACTCAATTTATCTAATTGTCAACTTGTCTTCTCACCTCTCCACATCCTTCCTCGTTTAAGGTTGTTGGCAAACTCTCCTCTGAGGCAAAAGGCCCCAACTCCGAATCCCACTCGGGGATCTGAGCTCTCTGCAAGAGCCGGAGAGAGGAACTGAACTCTGAATGATCAGATGAGAGTACAAGAGCCACTTGCAATTGGATGTGAGCTCGTTTTGATTTTTTTTTAATGGGATCTTGCTGTGTAGCAAATTGGACAATGGGGGGCGCTGAACTCTTGAGTCGCTTGCTTACTCTGAAGGAATTTCCTGAGGATGAGCACGGTGGGGTCTATATGCGAATCTGTTTCTGCTTTCGCTTTTCTCCCTCCCCTGTTACTCTTTGACCTCTCTTCCCACCATCCTACCCACTCCCGCCCTGGTCCTCCTCCTCCAGTTACCATCTTTCTCCGTTGTCCTGATGGGAAGATATGCCATTTCACCACATCCCAGAGGATGTTAAGGTGGCTGTCGTTCAGATTGTTTTTTCCAAACTAACACACTTCACAACGTTTGTGTTCTGTAATGATTCCCAGTAATCAGCTTTGAGAACTGGTGAGCCAGAGGATCGGATCACTGGAGTCCATTCGGTGACAGTGTTCCCAGTACGTTGCTGGAATGGGAAAACTTCCAAGATCATCTTTTCTTGGGATGGGCAAGCTAGGGCCAGCCTTTATTGCCCATCCCTAATTGCCCTGGAGAATGCCTTCAGGGGTCTGGGTGGTGGCGTCTGCTGTAGTCCTTCGGGTGTAGGGGCACCCATGATGTTGTAAGGGATGGAATCCTGGGATTTTAACCCAGTGACAATGAAGGAACGGTGATATATTTCCAAGTCGGGATGATAAGTGGCTCGGAGGGTAATTTGTAAGAGGTTGTGTTCCCATGTATCTGCTGCCCTTGCCTCAGTAGAAGAGGGACACTCATTTGGAACCTTCTCTTGAGGAGAAATGCAGTGTTAGTGCAGTATGTTTACAGACAGTATACACTGCAGCTGCACCTGGGCATCGATGGTGGAGGGACTGAATGTTGGAGGCAATGAGCGTGGGGCTGCTTTCTCCTGGAGGGTGTCGAGCTTCTCGAGTGTTGTTGGAGCTGCACTCACCCAGTCGAGTGGGGAGTATTCCATCACGTTCCTGACTTGTGCCTTGTGGACAGATTTTGGGGAGTCAGGAAGTGAGTTACTCACCACAGGAAGAGCTTCTGACAATGTTTCCTCATTTTACTTTTCCCTCTCTGACCTCATTTTTGAGGCTTGAAAGTGTTGCAACTCCTGGACGAGGACTGTGTGAGGCAGGCTGAGAGGGGCCGAGGGTGGGTAGGGATTTAGCTGTTGTATCTCAGTCAAAGCTCAACAGAGGACATAACTGCTGAACAGTGCGCTGTATGTTATGAACCTGAGTGTATTTACTTTATTTTAAAAAAAAAAAAATTCCCTCCAGTAGCTCTGTTTCTTCAAATGGAACACCCTCCTGACTTGTTTGTGATCACATTAATTAGGAGCAAGAATAGGCCATTCTGCCCCTTCAAGCCTGTTCTGCCATTCAACATGGCTGATCTCATTGCAGCGTCAAATCCACATTCCTGCCGGCCCTTGTGATCTTTCATCCTCCTGCTTAACACAAATATATCCACCTCTGCCTTTTA